TGACCCTTAGATCTCACAATCTAAAGCACCAGATTCATTCTCATTTCTTTCCTAAGATTGCATTCTCACAAGAACCAAAATATATATATATATATATATATATATATATATATGGAAGGATGAAGAACTTAAATTAAGTAATTAACCCCCTAATGTGTATCAAAACAGTTATCTTCAAAGATTACATGGTACAATTATTTATGTAGAAGCGCCTAAATAGTTAAAAGACTTTTTTTAGAGTAAGTGTGGGTTTACATTTTGTGACACTAATTTCGTTCGTAAAATGAACGTTTCATACATTTTTTTATTTATTTATTTTAAGACAAAAAGTTAAGTAATTATCTCACGAAATTACGTCATTTTAGATAATGTAACTCTGCGATCCTCTTTAAATTAATGTAACAAGTAAAGAGTGAGATCTGGACCAGATGACTAATATGCACCTCTGCCCGAGTGAGGTTGGTGGCATGAGAATATAATGTGGGTTAAAAATGACGTTACTTTTGTAACATTATAGTGATCGAGACAATTTTCACCAACGTTAGAGGGATTCCCTTATTTAACAACATCTTAACATCTAAAATATGAGGCCGGTTCCCATGACATTAATTCTCAAATTTAAATTAACTTGGTAGTACAATTGAAAGAGGTGTGGGTGTATGTTCGGGTGAGGAGTTTATTAGAGGGTTAGGGAGATAAGAACCGTCAATTTTACAAACGGGTCACTGAAGCACTCTCGGATCATCAAATGATATTCAGAATCAATGTCATAGGAACCGAGGGGTTAAAGAATAAACAAAATCGGTTACGGGTGGATCAAAAGTGGTGTCAAATGTGGGATTCTGGGTGAACCAAAGTAGTAATGAATTGAAGGAGAAATGGTCATGCCACACTACTCACCCATGGCGGACCTACATCATGCTCACCCACGCGCGGCTCATGACTCAGTCATGACCAACAACCACTCAGTACTCCGTATTTATTTTATTTCCTTTTTTTTTGACACAAATTAATTCACTCCTATCTTTCTCCTTTTGATTTTCTTTTAATTATTTATAACGGATTTCAATTCTCTCTCTTTTTAGCCCTTTTATTAGTTTACAAATATAAATAAAATAATGATCGATGATCTGCTGTTACAAAATAAATTCGTATATTTATTTTTGGAATCAAAAGATTTAATTAATGAAATAAAAATTGGAGGAAGGAACCGGCGGAGACAATGCATCCCCCACTCGTCCCTATGCCACCCTCACAAAAAGAATTGCTTCACAAATAATTCAAACCCCACTCATCTTCCAATCATAATCAACTCTTATTATTTATTTTTGCTAAAAAAAACTTTTTTTATTTATTTTTATTTTTTAAGACAAAAAATTAAGTATTTACGCTAAGGAGTAAAGAAATACTACCTCCGTCCCACTGTCTTTGTCCACATTTGACTTTTGGAACTGTTCATCTAAGCACTTTGACTCATCAAATTCTCTCAATGTGTAAGCCTAAACATAGTCATGTGTGATCTTGTTTGATTTGTCTTAACATATAGATTATTAATATATAATTTCTCTAATTTTTTAATATACAAATTACAAGATAAAATGGATTAAAGAAGTGCATTGGATGATGTGCCAAAAGGTAAGTGGACAAAGACAGTGGGACGGAAGGAGTAAGATATTAATTGGAATATCTAAGAATAAATTCCGCAGATGGTTCTGAGGTTTCTATATATATTATGAAATTTTAAGATATTACATTCGTGGTCATCAATATATGCTCTCTCCATTCACTAAATCCCTTAGCTTATTTTTTTCATTTTTTTGCTTTCACCAAAATACTTTCTTTTTTTATTGAAATGAGCTGAGTAATATATACAAATAAAAGGTCTATTTGGAAATAGAATTAGAGATTAGTGTTAACTTTATGAAAAAACTATCTACGGAAAGCTTTTAGGGTTAGCGTTTTCGAAGTTAATCTACACCGTTAAAATTTTATCTAAAATGCTAACGCTAATCGAAAATGCTATTCTCGAACTGGCCCAAAGTCATTGCAATATATCCTCATTCCATTTTAAATTGATATAATAAGTCATTGAATTGAAATGATTTGGCTCGATGCTAATGATTATTTTGGAAAGTCAAATTACAAAAATAAATCCTCCAAAAGTTAAAATAAATCTTTTTTGGAGAGCGGATGGAGCATTTAAGAACTATTATATTCAATGATTGTCCTTTGTGGACTATATGTGGAAAATAATATCTGAATGAAATGACTGGTTATGAAATAATTCTCAAATATGGAAGACCAAAAGTGTAATATCATAAAATATTTTTTTGATATATCAATTTTTTTATCACTAATTATGCATAAATTGTTAGGCTATGTACCATTTTGTGTGTGTTGGCAATCCATCCTAACATAAAAACAGCAATTAATGATTTAAGTGTCTCATTATTTGGGGTTAAAAATAAAAAAATGGAGTACATTTTTTTTAAGGGTCAGACAGAGTATATATATTGTTTGGATTGGAGTGGTAATTACGGAGTACTAATTATGTAGGCCGGTTTGAGAACCCCAATACGCTGCATGCGTCTTGCTACACGGGCCAGCTTGGGATCACAATGGTCCCGTTTCGGATCTTCTTGACCCGAAACCTTCATATGTTGTTTGCTTTTTTTTTAATAGTAAATTCTTAAAATGGTCATTTTCAATAAACTATCTTCTCAAATTAGTCTCAATAAATACGGAATAATATTAGTCATTTGTCAAAAAATACCTATTAAATGCTGGTTAGTTAGAGTATATTTTGGTATTTTCCATCATCTAAACTATGGTCTAGGATAAGTCTTGAAAATGGTCCCTCAAATTAACTAATTATCTAGGTGGTTGTTAGAAGAACAGACCCACCCCGAGTCACCTAATGGACTCCATTTTGGAAAAATACTTGAAAATTATCAATTTGAAAAAATATTTGATTGTAGTGGAGTAATTCAAAAGCATACTTTAAGTCTAGATGATAGAAAATACCAAAATACCTTCTATTTGATTGACATCAATAGACATTTCCGGCAGAAGACTATTTATGGAATAAATTTAAATTATAAAGGGTCATGCCAGTAATTATTACTTATTAAGAACTAATTTAGGAAAATACTTTATTAGAAATACTGCTTTGAGAATTCACTTTTTTTCATCTTTATATACTCGATCCACTATTCGCAAGAAACTTTTAACTTTGACTTTTACAAAATTTTTTTAAAAAAAAGAATACTCCGAAGTGGATATTAAGAAGTGAAGTTGTAAGATGAAGTGCCATATTGTCCCATAAAAATTGCTGGGGGTGGGGCATGGGAAGAACGAATGGTATGATTAATCAATTTTGTGATTAAAACGGATATTATAACATTGATATCCATTGTTAAAAGATCTTTATCCTTGGATATGATGTGTCATTAATTACCTGATTCATATCCTTTTATTTTTACCGGGTATTGAATTCAGGTACGGATCTTAACAAATGTTAAAAATCAAAAACATAATCGTATCTTTCAGATATTCAGTCGAATATACGGATAAACGTACGTTATTCAAATTGATGTATATCGGGAATGAAAACATTGATAAATAAAAAAACATCAGGAATAAACACACCATATGTTTGACCTTTTAAACACTAAACATGCATGCTTTTGTAGTTTCTTTCATGCAAATAATTCGTTCATTCCCTCTATTTTTCTTCCATGCAAAATTTCTCTCTAAATATTTTCCATCAAATATTTACTTTATAATAATTTCAAAATATTTTTAAAATATGTGAGAAAATGAATTTGGTCAGAGATGGAGGGCCGATCAAATTGACTTTAGAGGACAGATGATTCTCCCAATTCAATCGTTATCCCCACCCCCCATTGATTTTTATTAATGATAATAACATATGAATAATAATTCTATGAATAAATTGTAACAGAACAAAAATAATGTACCCCGAGTACTTGAGTAGTTATTATATACGAACATGTTAGTAATGTGTCATTATTTATTCTCATTTTTCGTGTGTATTTTGACTTATAATACACTCCGTATGAAAGAATTAAAGTATAAGTATAAACGTGAGACAATAATTTTGGAAAAAAAAAGTAGGATGATTAATTCGAGACTAAATGAGGAAGGGATTATTGTTTATCAAAGAAATGGGTAGGTGGCCTATGTAGTATTCCTTAAAATATTTGGACAAATTATTTTTTGTTGCTCGTGAATTACTTTGGACATTCAGAACTATGCTTAAAAATGAATCTCCGTCTTAGTATTAACCTGATATTATAATTAAGACTCCCTTCGTCCCTCAGTATTTGTCCGTTTTTGATTTTTTTGGTTAAAATTGGTAATCTTTGACCTCAAATCAAATAAAAATGATACTCCGTATTAGATATTGATACAAAATAGTTTAATAAGATTTATTTTATATAGTATTTTTAAAATACTATTTTATCTAATAAATATACAATGAATATTATTTAATTATAGGTCAAAAATTAAAATAATTTTCACGAAAAAACTCAAAACTGGAATAATACTCAGGGACGGAGGCCATATGTTTTATTTGGAATAAATAAAAGGAAACAAATATTATTAATAATTATTTTAATTAGTCAATTAGTTTTATACAGAAATTATTATTTTACTAGAATTAGTATTCTCTGTATATTCTCCACATATATGGATAGCATCAAATTGTATGAGATGAGATCATAATTCAAAAACATTATATTAATAGAAAAGTCTAAAAGAAATATTCTGGCCGGAGAGGAAAAAAATGTGCATTTCAACACTGTTAATCACAACAAAAAATGACACGCTATAATTTGTCGTCATCACTTGTTTATTATCAAATAATGTATGTATGGTAGTTGGTCTTTGTTTCCTGTTTACGTTGAATTGATCCAATGCATGAACTCACCCAAATCTCACAACCAATATAAAATAGTTACATACTTATCCTAATATTCTTATTAATTAATACTCCGTATAATATTCTCTGTGTTTTCAAAATAGTTCATGTATATTATGATTTTTGGCAGCTTTGTTTTTGTAATTTGACTTCTCATATCTTTAGCATTGAAGATCTCGTTTGACATCCGCGTTAGAGGTTAGTATTTTGAAAAGACTATCAGACGGTAGCCTTTTACGTTAGTTTTTTCATATTTTATTTATACCATTAAATTTTTATCTAAAACACTGACGGTAATTGAAAATGTCGTTTCTAAACAAGGCAGAAGAGAAAAGATCAGAGACAAATTACTTAAATAACGTATTATATTTGGTCGATGGCTCGAATCAAAGTAGATGGATTATATTGCTTATTTAGATATATTAGTCATTTTATTTCAAAGTGAAAGTATTTTGTTAGGAAAATAAAAAAATGAAGGAAGAAGTATTTTAGAAAAGGAAAGAATATAATTTTGGTTCAAATCATCATTACTCCGTATTAATTAGCAACATATCTTCGAATAATCATTACTATTAATTAGTCAATGCGGAGTAAATTTGCTTCGAATAATCATTACTATTAATTACCAATATATTTAGTAAATCAATGCGGAGTAATTAAAAAATGAGTTATTAGTCAATCCAAATAATTGTATTGAACTGTACAGTCAATAAGTAAAAAAAAAAAACCAGCTAAGGACGACATTTTTGTCCGTATTAGGTTTAATCGGAAAATACTATAGAAATCATTCTAAATAGGACTAAAACATAGAGAAAAGTATCAAAATAGGACTTTCATGTTTTTTTCCCGAAATAGGACTTTGCACTGTGGTAATGTGAGTTTGCATTGTGGTAATGTGGCAGTGTACATGTGCAAATTACTATACTTTTTTGGTAATGTATATGATCATATTTGGTAATGTAAGTCCTATTCCGGGAATAAAAACATGGAAGTCCTATTTTGGTAAATCTTCAATGTTTTAGTCCTAGTTTGGTCTTTCTCCCAAAATACTACGTAAACATTATTACTCCGTATAATTCTTCTCCTACGATAATTAGAATTTTAGCGTGTATCTCCTATAAATAGGAATTTATTTTTATTTGTTATTTAATAAGATTAATTGTTATCAAAATGTATCTTTATGATACTTATCGAACTATTTTCTTTCAAATTAAATTAATTTTGACCATCATTTTTATCGATCACGGTAATAACTCAAAATAATCTTTATTAAAAACGGAGTATATTTTAAACTTGTTAATTAAAGAGTGTAAAAGAAAGATCGATTTATTCTTTAATATTTAGAATAATACTCCGTCCCTGGAAACCTGTCCCCGCTCTTTTTCATCCGTTCCAAAAAACGCTTCTAATTTCTTTTAAAAAGTCACTTTTACCTCCTACTTTTTCATGCCCTACCTATCACATCATACCTTTTACTAATAATCTACTCATCACAGCAAAGTATTTTTTTGGAAATTCAATACCTAAATATACTTTCCTTAAATCTATTAAAAATCAATAACTCTCATGCTTTTAGAACCGGAAGGAGTATTAGTATAGCCTCCCATATATTTTATATTATTTATATATATATATATATATATATATATATATATATATCTGTGTGTGTGTAACCATTCTTAATTGTTATACAAATTAAGTACGTGGCATATACTCCCTCCGTAGCACTGTCTTTGTCCACTTACCTTTTGGCACACCATCCAATGCACTTCTTTAATCTATTTTATCTTGTAATTTGTATATTAAAAAATTATAGAAATTATAAATTAATAATCTATATGTTAAGACAAATCAAATAAGATCACACATGACTATATTTAGGCTTACACATTGAGATAATTTGATGAGTCAAAGTGCTTAGATGAACAATTCCAAAAGTCAAAAGTGGATAAAGACAGTGAGACGAGGTAGTATTATCTATTACTACGATGAAAACAAAAAACTGATTTTTTTGTGTTTTCTTGGAAAAATTACGTCAACATTACATGCATGTACTAAACATGTCGGCAAGACCATTCACAAGGGTGTGATTGTGTGAACATATGGTGATATGGGGTTGAACAAATTCATTTTGACAACCTAGCTAGCTTCCAATGGATTAAATCCCAAATGCAATTCATAATATAATGTTCAAATATCATTAGAAATATTTGCACTAAATAACACTAAAACTTAAATCATTTCTCTAAATAGCACTTAAACTATTTTATTTCCTAAATAGCACTTAATAATGCCCATAACGTCCTGTGATGACGAATATTTGCTTGAATAATGACTAATGCATAATAGCCAAAAGTGCTACATTGGGAAGAAAAACACATGTGGTGCTATTTAGTGAAAGTCATTATGTTTTAGTGCTATTTAAGTAAATTCCTCATATTATTAATTAAAACAATCAATTTGTAAGCGGTTAATATTAAAATACAGTAATCAATTTGTAAGCAGTTAAAATAATTAATTTGTTAAATAATCCATTATGGGGTATTGCACACTTAAATTCCTAACAATCAATTTGTAAGCGGTTTGGAGGAAAAAATTGAAGAACAGAGGATCGACATCACTAAAAAGTTTGAATGTTTCCGTTGAATTGAGCCTTTGTGATGGTCGTGACGATTTTACTCTTCTATCAATGAGTAAACGTTCAAAGAGTTTCAACTTAGAAAGGAACAATCAAGGCTTTAAAAATGAAGACTCGGAGAATATAAAAAAATGACTGACGTTAAGTGGGCTAACTTTGTGAAGAATAGTGTGCGGATTTGAAGGACATGATAATGAATCCGGAGTATAATTTATCTATACCTCGTAAACACGTTTTAAAAGGTTCTCAACTTGATAGATCAGGTTGGCATTTCGATTTTGGACAAGTTGAAAAAGTACTACAAGTCAAGATTGTTGAAAAGATAAACTTAAAAAAACAATTTATTGGTCTCGGAATATAATGGTAGAAGAAGCAATTTTCCAAAAAGATATTCCAAAGATTCTTTAAATAAATGAGTTTTATTTAATTGAGGATAAATACTCCATATTAAGCTTGTAAAACAAAGGTTGATGTACCCATCTTTTTATCATTAATTAAATAAAACTCAACCACAAAAGGAAATGTTTGGGGTAAAACTATTCTTCAGCTTTAACCAATAAAACTTCCAACTGAAATGTAACTAACACTTTCACCTCTCTATTTCTTCTCCCATTTTCAGATCAAACCTCAAAAATAAAACAACTTTCCAAGCACAAAAAAATAATAATAATCGTACATAAAAAATGGTAGGGCCATCGGAGAATGTCAAGCCTGCCGGAGCGGCTGCCGGAACAGCCGACCAAGCCTCCCCAAAGTTGCCATCGCCGGGGCGGCAGCACGCCGGAGTGCTCCACCAGACTCGGAAGGCGTCGGTCTGCCCGGCAAAAATGGCCGCCGGTGGACTCGCCATTGCCGCCACCATAGCCTACTTTACGTTGTACTCCAAGAAAAAGCCGGAAGCCACCGCCATTGACGTAGCAAGGGTTGCCACCGGCACCGGAACTCCGGCCAACACCCGTCCTCGCAATTAAACTCGTGCACGTGCACGCACTTAATTTGCACCAAGATTATTTATTATTATTTTTGCAGTATTTTGATTTTTATTATATATTTTGAGAAATCGTTATTTTAAGATTAATCAACTTTTCGTAGTTTTCGTTTAAATTCATTTCTTTTCAGGTTAAATTGGGCATTTATTCTGTCTACTGTATTTATTACTCGTAATTGATTAGCAACAATAAGAACATGCAATGAAAGGATGTGCTTGGGTTAGCAATTTCTATTTTTTGGAATTTTGAAATAACATTGTTAATTATGAATGTATATTTTCATACTGCTATATTGAATTTCAGAGGTTCTTATCTTGATCTCAATTAAACACAACACAAAATATGGTAGTAATTTGCAAACTCTCATCTTTCTCATCTAAAAATGTTGTCTTGGGAGGGTACAAAAGAAACTTAAACATCAAGACAAAATAACATAAACAAAATGTAGAGGAAATGGCATTTGAAGATACACAATTAGACTTTAGACACTCTCATTCATGATCATATGACTACCCACCACCCAACCCAAACCAAACCACATTCCCATGGACGAGTAGATGAATCAATCAATCTTCACGGACGAGTAGATACGCCTCGTGAACCAGAAGCAAGCATAGAACCCTATGGTGCCAGTCAAAACAAAGAATGCAAAAGAAGCGATGAGCATGTACCCGAAATAGAGGATCCCAGAGACAGGCTTTGTGATCTCCAGCTTTGTGAAGAAGTAAAAGGCGGAATAGACAAAGAGGTAGAGAGCCGAAGAGCCGGAGGTGAGGTAGGACCGCCACCACCATAGGTAGTCCTCGCTGCAAAGCTGGAAGTAGCAGAGAACAATGGTGATCTCTGCGCAGGTGATTACCAGGATGACAAACACCACGAGCAGGAAGCCAAATATGTAGTAGAACTGCTGCAGCCAGATGGAGGTGAGGATGAAGAAGAGCTCGACGAAAACCGCCCCGAACGGGAGTATACCCCCAATCAAGATTGAGAATACCGGGTTCATGTACCACGCCTGTTCGGGTATTTGTCTTGGGATCTTATTCGTTTTGACGGGGCCCTCGATGGCCGGCTTCTTGAACCCTACGTAACTACCTACGAACACGAGTGGGACCGAGACGCCGAACCACAGGAAAACCAGAGCAAACATGGTTCCAAAGGGTACGGCGCCGGATGACCTTTCCCCCCAGATCAGAGCATTCAGGATGAAGAAAACAACAAAGAAGACCCCTGGAAACATGAAAGCCGTTTGGAGAGTGATTTTCTTCCATTCAGATCCTCTGAACATCTTGTAGAGACGCGCTGATGCGTACCCGGCTAAGACACCCATGAAGGCCCAGACGAGAAGCATGGCCGTCATTAACCCTCCACGGTTAGAGGGGGACAAGAACCCCAAAACGGCGAAAATCATTGTCACTAATGTCATGCCCAGGAACTGAACACCTGTCCCCACACAGACACACAACAGATCTGAGTTGGTTGGGGGTCTGAATACATCCCCGTGGACCAGCTTCCACCCTGTTTCCTCTTGGGCTTCTTCTTGGGTCTCCAACTGGTTGTACTTGGAGATGTCGCGATAGAGGGTCCGTAGCATGATCATGGCCACCATACCCGAGAGGAAAAGAACAATCATCAGAGAATTTACAATTGAGAACCAGTGGATCTGATCGTCAGTCATCAGAAGATACGTGTCCCATCTTGATGCCCACTTGATGTCACTCTCCTGCAAATATGGAGTGTATTATTAGCGGTATTAGGTATTTTTTTCAAGCTCATTGCCAATGGAGCAAAAAGAGTCATTTTGACCATGTTTTAGTTTTGACTTTTGAGTAAATAATACTCCGTACTCCGTAAAAAAAGTCAAAAAGACACATTAAGCTAACTCCTTGCTTCTTACTTCAGATGGAGTTTTGGGCTGTAAATGCAACAACGCACCAAATTAAATGGTCTTAACAGAAAAAATATTTATGTTTTTTACAGGGTTAAAGTGACCCCACTTTCGTGGGATCCAACTCGGTTGTTGTTGTTGTACAGGGTTAAAGTGTCATATATCTTGATTCTTGACCCCCACCCCCCCTCCCCCCCCCCAAAAAAAAAGAAGACCCAAATGGAGTTGAAATTTTACTTTGGTTTTGTTGCTGTTGTTATTGCATATTTGCATTTGGTATTTTAACTTCATTTGCATTTGGTTAAGTTATGATATCAGTTACCTGGAATTCAACGTCATATGTGAAGATGATTTCCTTCTTATCCGCAACTTCCTGGGGAGAATCAGAGGTTGTAACTGTGTGTTTGGCGTGAGGATCACATGTGTTTAGTCTTGTGTTGTTATCAGTCCATTTACCATCATACTCATGTTTCACGCTGAACATAAAAAAACATAAGCCAACACCGAAACACACAAGTACCTAGAAAATGTATTTTAAAAAAAACATGTATCTGACCTGAAGGGTTTTACTTCAAACCCAACAATTCTAGCAGCATTAGTTTGTGCATCCTTGTGAAACTTGACGGTAAATGTTAAATGGTTGTGGATAAAATACTTCTCATCCTTACTCTGTGAAATGATATATAAGACGCATAAAAATTAATCACAACAGCCTTAGAATTAGAAATACTAGGTTAAGGGGAACAGGAAATGTGCATACCCCGGCATATATTCCCTTGAGACCAACATGGAAACCATGTTGATAGATGATAGAATCCTGATCAAGCCTCTTAATAGGCATAACAAGAGGAAGGTTATCTAAAATCCTGTTGCATTCAATTACTAAATCAGAGACCATTGACTATCATACAGTTGACAAAAACAGCATCAAGATAAAACTTTAAATTGTTCCCAGTACATGTTCACCCGATATTCATCATCTATCTTCTCCTTAAATTCTTTTGCTGTTTTTGCATTAAGAACAATATGACATGCAATGTTACACATCTGTGGTTCCCTCATACGAAACTGCACAAAACCTTCTGTTAGACCTAAGTTTAACAATTTAAGGACATACTGGATTTCAATCATCATAAAGAAAAGTAACGTACCTCATAAACAGAGTTCTCAATACGGTCACCGCGAAGAACCTCGCCAAGATTTTCTGCACTGTCCACAATGCGATCTGGCTTACAGTAAGGAAGGGAATAATATGAATACGGAAGTTGAGTTCTAGTAGAAGCCAGTTTGTTGACTTTCACCTTCAGAGGGTCACCCTGCCAAATGAGTGAATGAAAATAAAAAGTTAACTCCAATGAGGCATCAAACACTACTACTCAATATAACTGCAGGCATTTACAATGGAGCAATTTAAATATAACAATACTGTAAAATACAGTTTTCCAGCTGCTCTCTGAGAAACACAAATTTTCATCAACAGGGATGCATTCAAGCAGAAAAATAACTCAGAGAAGCATTATACTCGTTACCAAGCAAGGCAAGAGCATTAGGTCTGAATATAATCTGATCAGTATTAGTCTTCTTCTATTATGTTACAAACCTACAGCAATCAATTTGATTTGAACCTGAACGGCTAAATTTGATTTCAACATACAAATCAATAAGTAGAACATGTGACTCTTACACACAACCATAGTATTGATCTCATGACTTAACATCGAGATTCAAGCCTTTACTTGGAATATGTCATGTGGAGTACTGTTATACATCGAGCGGCTTAAATTGCTAACCTTCAAGGCAATATACTCGTATGGAAGAATGAAGCAGTCATTATCGAGCCCATAAACTCAAAAAGTTCAAACCCTTCAGCAGAAAGGATAAACAAGTTTCATTTTTTTAAGAAACAACTGCATTTCAGGTGGAATTCAATCACCAACCTGGTGGGGAACCTAACAAAACTAAGTAACTAACTATTCCCATATTTTTAAGATCACAAATTCACAATACACTAAGCTATTTCAAGCCATCATATGATCCTAGTAAGTGCCTAAGTTTTTTATTTTTGTTGAACCAAAAGCTGGCTGCTTTGTATAGATCCGAAAGGAAGACAACTGAAAGCCTCAGTAATGAACAGTAAGAAGAAATTAGGGCGGACTATCGAGATCTGTAATTAAAACAAAAGCTGTATCGTCATCAATTAAGAGCATTTGCGAATGATTTTACCTTCTGGAAATCCTGAGGAGCGACTCCGGGGAGGTAGAAAGAGTGAGCCATGGCGAAGAAGACGAAGAGGACGAGGAAGCAGCACGAGATCCATCGCGAGAAACTCGGGACCTCCATAGCTGCTCTCTGAAGATCGATCCCTCGCGCACGCAGCTTATGACTGCCGAGATCTAGATTTCTCTCTCTTCACTCTTTCTCTCTCTGTACCTCCACGCAGACATGTACGTACGTATATAACTGTATTCTACGCATACAGCATAATTTTCAATAATACTCCTCTTACTATTCGAATGGTCAAATTTTAATCATTTTATTTATTTTGTAATTTATTTGATAAAATAATATAATTTTGTCACGTCTTGTCTTTTAAAACTTTTGATATAAATTTTGAATATATAAATTTTATTTTTTAATTTTAACCTACAATCAAATAAATCAAATTGAAATGAAATCAGTCAAATTTCATAAATATAAACGGAAAATATGTTTTAGAACAGAGGGTACACCAAAGTAAAGTACTCCAAACAAAAAGAGACATACAAAGATACTTAGTGTTTGTGCATGAACAAATACAGTGTACCTGTTTTTATTTGGCGTACAAATGAAATACGGAATAGTACTTTTGATCTACTCTTAACAATCTAACATAACCCTATAATTTTTCCTTCCACAATAGCTTAATTAGATGGTCGTGAATTCGTGATTCACAAGGAGTGTTAAGTCTAATGTGATAATTTCTTATGCTGCAATGTCTCCATTTTAATTTATTCCATCACATACTAAAGCCAAAAAATGGTGAAATTGAACTGGAGTGAGCAATGGTAGCCTTACTACGGAGTAATTTTTTCTCAATTATATCATTATCTTCTTGTGCGAAATTGACATGAGAATTGAGAACTAGTGTGAATTGTGATTTGTGAGCTGTATAGAGAAGAAAAATACTTCTTTCATTCTACTACAATTTTCTCACTTTTTTTTTTCATTCATCTTATAACAAATTATTATTTCTCCTTGTTAAAAACTAAAACATGGTCCATAATCTTATCTCTCTTTTACACAAATTCGAACAACTCAATTCTCACTAATCAAATATTGTTCCAACTTCCAACACTTTTCTAAATCTCTGTGACATCAAAATGTGCACTTTAATTTGAGAAGGAAGGTATACTCACAGACCACAATCTCCTCCTTAAAAGGCAACCGAAAGAAAATTTAAAGGCAACACTAGGAAGATAATTATGACTTATGAGAGGCAAAAGTACCAAAATGGCCATTGCTGATTTTTAATAGGGGCAAAACTCAAAAGATAGAGAAAAATTGGTGTGGACAATGGAAAGAGGTAATAATGCAACAAGCTCTGCAGATCAAAGAAAGCACAATATCCATTTTCAGCATAACATAAACCATGAATGGCATGACC